TGGTCCAGGTTTCTGCCCAGGTCTCCATAAGGTCTGCCTTTGGGCACCAAGATAACAGCTTTCTTAGGCATACTCCCAGGCTTACCCGTTCTCCAGAAGGCACATCTCTGTGGCAGGTGCCTGGGTCGAGAGAAGAGGCCAGCTGTGGTCACGCTCTGATCCCATTCTGCCCTCTCTCACAAATCTCTAGGTTCTTACGCGGAGCCTGGATCACCAGCCCAGACTCCCCACTTCCTCAAGGTCGTGTGATTTCGGAGACCTTCTTAGCTTGCTGTACAAATGGGCCTTGGTCCATGTAGACAGATCCCCTCATGTCTTGGTCATAGGGAACAGGGTTTGGATCTTGTTCTGTCTTTCCCAGAAGGTGTGGGGTCCTCATGCAAAAGGACTCCCTCCCTCTCCTGCCACCAGCTTTCCATTGCTGGGGGCTTGGGAAGGGCTGGCTTAACTGAGCCACGAAAGATCCTCTCATCCTTCCTCTCCTCTCCCAGTAGTGTGCCGTATCACCCAGCAATTCCACTTCTGCGTATATACCCAAAAGAATTGAAATCAGGGTCTCAAAGACATATCTGTACACCCATGTTCACAGCAGCATTATTCACAATAGCCAAAGGGTAGAAACAACCCCAGGGTCCATTAAGGGATGACTGGATGAACAAAATGTGGCACATACAGACAGTGGAATATTATTCAGCCTTAAAAAGGAAGGAAATTATGACATGTGCCACAACATGGATGACCCTTAAAGACATTATGCGAAATGCAATAAGCCAGTCACAAAAGGACAAATATTGTATGATTCCACTGCTATGAGGTCCCTAGAATAGTCAAATGCCCAGAGACAGAGTAGAATGGTGGTCCAGGGGCTGGGAAGGGATGGGGAGTTAGTGTTTAGCGGGTACAGAGCTCCAGTTTTGCAAGATGAAAAGAGTTCTAGAGATGGAATGTGGTTCTAGAGATGGAATTCTACAATGTAAATGTACTGAATGCCACTGAATGGAACACTTAAAAAATGGTAAATTTTGGGGCTGGCCTGGTGGCATAGTGGTTAAGTTCACGTGCTCTGCTTTGGTGGCCCAGGATGGGCTGGTTCTGATCCCTGGTGTGGACCTACACAATGCTCATCAAGCCATGCTGTGGTGGCATCTCACATGCAAAAACCAAAAAGAGGAAGATTGGCAACAAATGTTAGCTTAGGGCCAATTTTCCTCACACACAAAAAAGGGAAATTTTGCTATGTATATTTTACCATAATTTTAAAAAATTCAAAAGCATATCTTTTAGAGTTCCTTTTGCTGCAAGTTGCAGAAAGGCAGAATCCAAACACACTTAAGCAAAGTGGATTCTGGCTAATGAGAGCTGAAAAGTTCAGCCAAGGTTTGGCTTTAGCACAGGCTGGTCCAGAGCACAGGCAGAGTTGTAGTGATGTTTCCTCCACACTCAGAGCTGCCCTCCGCTGTGTGCTCTTTGCACTCCATCTCTGTGTCTTGGCCAGATGGCCATAGGAGGTCTGCATCCTGTCCACATCCAGTGAGAGAGGAGCAAAAGCCTTTTTTCCAGGAAGTCCTGGTTGCACTCAAGGTCTCTCCTTGGTCCTGATTGGGTCATCTGCCCACGCACCAGCCAATCGCTGTGGCCGGGAAAGGCAATGCCTTGATTGGCTTAGGTGGGGCTGATGTCCCTGGCAGCAAGGAATGAGAGTCAGATTGGGATGATTTCCCAGAGGAGTCTAGATCTGGTCACCAGAAGGAGATGCCCCTAAGGGTTTTGTAAGTATCTTCCTGTGCCATAAAAAATTTTTCATAGACTTCATTTTTAACATTTTCCTTCTTCTCCCCCAAATCCCCCCAGTGCATAGTAATATATTTTAGTTGTGGGTCCTTCTAGTTGTGGCATGTGGGATGCCGCCTCAGCATGGCCTGATGAGCAGTGCCATGTCTGCGCCCAGGATCCAAACCGGCAAAACCCTAGGCCACCAAAGCAGAGCACGGCAAACTTAACCACTCGGCCATGGGGCCGGCCCCCTATACTTCATTTTTAACGACTGAACAATATCCAACCGTATGGACATATCCTAACGTATTCAACATTCTCCAATTGTAGGACAGTTAGACTACTTATTAAGATAACGTTGCAAGGCACATTACTATAGTCTATATCTTATATTACTTTCTTAAGATGGGTCCTGAGAAGTGGCATATCTAAGTCAAAGTATATGTACATATTTTCAAAGCTCTTGTTGCTTTCCAGAACTGCTCTTTTAGGATTTACTCCATGAGCAGAGCCATCTGTCTTACCACCCCCTCACCAGTAGTTCTTTTTAGTCTTCAGTAATTTGATGAACAAAAAAATGTTAATTTGCTTTGCTAGCTGAGCTGGACTATATTTTCCCCATGTTTTGGTGAGCCAGACCACAGTGTCTGGGCTTCAGCCTTTTAGAAGCTATGGCACTAGCTGCCTCTCACCTGCGCTAGTCCAGGGCCGTGCTCAGGAATCATATTTGGTACCATGCTGTGTGTCCAGGGAGAGGGCCAGGGGGATCCATGGATGCCCAGGTGCTCCTCAGGAGCACTGAACGGCTTTAGCACAGAGCCTGGCGCATGGTAAGGGCCCAACAATGTTCGTTGTTGTTCTTGTCAGTATGATGTCGATCTTTCTATCCCTGTCTTCACCCCCCTGGGGCAGCTCTGCCCTTCCTTTCTGCAGCGCCCTGCTTTTGTTGGGTTCTTGGTTGCGGATGTCTCATGCCCCTCCCTGGGCCCATCTGCTCGCCTTTCAGTGCCTCCTTGGGGCTCCCCTCTGCCATGCAGCCTCTGTGTTCTGAGCAATGGCACCCTATTGGATTCGTCTTAGAGCCACAACAAAGGGCCCTGGCACTGTTGTTTTCTGTTGGCTTGACTGTGCGCATCCTTCCCGCGATTCGACACTCCCCATGAGCTGGCCCTGCGTTCACAGTGGATCTGAGGTCCCACATGGGCAGGCCTCTGTGCTCATCTCCGCATATGTCCTTGAACACCCTGGGGTGCTCTGCCGGGTGTGTTGGTCAGCCTGCTCTGCCCCCCATGGCTGCCGGCTCACCCTTGTCCCCCTGTCTATACTCAATGCCCAGACAGTTTGGCAGTACTATGCCGTGATTTTTAACGAAAGCCTCTGTAGCATCCTCTCCCAGGACTTGTGAATTACAGAAACGGAGTTATCACATGCCATTGTTCAGGGAGAAGTACTATTTAATGAACAAGAGAAGCAGATCCAACTCATCCATTTATTTCAAGGATCACAGAAGCTCATCCTTCCAGCAGCCATTGACTTCAGCCTTCATTTACGGAGGTGGGACGGGATCTGCCTGAACTTCTGTGGTATGGCTGCCTCTAGGGGGGTCAGGAACACCCCCTAGAGACACATGTCTCTCTGTGAGCTTCTCAAGCTCCACACTCACCCACACATTGCTCAGAGGAATGAAAACTGGACCCGCCTTGAGGCTGTCAGGAGAGGGCACGAGCCAGGCAGAGCAGGGGTGGGTCACTTCCCAGCTCCGGGCCTGGCCTCCTGGCATCCTGCTTCCATTTGGTTCATAGTAAGCGTTCAGCCCATGTGAACTCCCTGACTCAGGACTGCGCCCGGCTGGTCAGCACATTTATTAGACTAGTGCTTCTTAAAGTGTGGTCCCTGGGCCAGCAGCAGCAGCAGCACTCGGGAACTGGTGGGGAATGCAAAGTCTTGGCCTGAGTCAGAAACTCCAGGGGCAAGGCCCAGCAACTGGTGAAGGCCTCCAGGTGATTCGGATGCAAGTTCAAGTGCGCACACTGGTTTTGATAAAAGAGATTCGTATGAGCCTGGCAAGATGCACAGTATGTGTGTACTGCTTAGTACGGTATCTGGCACACAGGAGATGCTACATAATTGAATAAACACACAGGTCCTTTCCTCTGCTCACCTACCTCCTACTCATACCAACAGGACTGCTGGGAGAGACTGGAGGAGTTTAGGATTGGGACAAGACCTCAGTGAGAAGGAAAAGCAGACCAAAGCTTGCACGAGCATCTTTATCTCAGGGAGCAGGAGACGGGAAGGGAATGGAAATCTCAGAAGCATCAGTTTAGCAGTGAAGGATTTTATGTGTCTAGCTTTTGGTAAAAGGAAACAGCCTTGAACTCTAACTTCAGTGTTTTGGTGCATGACTTCTAGCCAGAGCCGGTAGGCTGGCTCTGCCCTCTCCATCTTCCCATCGAAACCCCCGCCAGCCCTCCTTGGCGTGTGCTGCTGTCGAACGCGTTTTGCACAGGCTGGTACCCGCACCGTCTTTATGCCGCCAGCCGAGGCCAGCTCTTCCATTCTGGTCGAACCATCTCGATACCTCTTTCCCTGGAGCCCCTTCCTCATACTCTCCCACCCCTACCCCAGACTTCTGATAACGTGATGTTGATATTTCAGATGTAAGAGGAAAAAACGTTGTTCCATACATACATGTCTTGTTCAAGCTTGCTTTACTGTGAGGCCCCTCAGCACCACTGGCACGACCCCAATGGGCTGGGGGTGGAGGTCACTGGCCGGGAAGCTGGGGACCAGCACTAGCCACATAGACTTTGATTCAGGCAGCACTGGGTGTCAAGGCTAACATTGCTGTGGTCTTGGTAAGACATTGGTGGACATAATTACTTAGCATCTCAAGCCTGTTTTTCTGAGTCACCAATTGAGTAGGAAGTTGCAAGGTTGCTGTGAGGCTGAACAAGCTGCTTTATCTAAACTGCATGGTGCTCCGTAACGTGAGGGGTGGCTAATGACTCTGGTTTCTTCCACCCGACTCCTAAGTCATCACCACCGGGTGCCATCCATCCCGGCACAAGCACGGGACCCCTGCCCCTGGCTGGACACAAGGGGATCCTCTTAGCCTGCTCCTCCCACCCCCTGTAATCCAGAAACGAAGGCTCAGAGGAGTTGCAGGCTTTTGTGGTGACCCTGAAGATATCCCAGAAACTGAAAACGTGAGAAAGAACGAGATAGAACCATTATGGGACACCCCATATTTATTAAGAAATGGAAAGGGAGCAGTTGGATGAGAAAAAATTGAGGGGGGAAAGGAAAAATGAGGAATCTAATATGGAGAAGAAAGGCACTTGAAGCTTTATTGAGCCCCAATATTTTGACTTATTTTGCTATTAATTTATACCCCGTCCTGTTTCAAAAAGGTTAGACATGGCACAGCAAGCACGAAGCTTGCAGACGGATTTGAGGCCGCCCCACCATCCGATGAATGGCTCCTTCAGTCCCAGGACAGTGTCTGTGGGAGTAAGACAGCCTCTCTAAGGACAGCGCCCCTCGACGCACTGAGCTCTGTCAGGGGCAGCTGTTCACACACATGTCCCAGGACCCTCTGGAGCCCCTCAGAGGAGATGCTGGGCACACGCTGCTATCCACCCAGGTGCCCGCAGACTCCCTGACCTACCCTTCTGGGCACTCTCTCCAGTGTCGGTCCCTTTGCCTCCAGTAGCTGCCACTGTGGCCTTCTTCAGAGGCTGCTTGGGCTTCTGAAGCCACCGCGGCTGCATGTGCAGAGGGCCAGGGAACTGGGGCTCTCCATCTTCCCAGCCAGGGGCACCCTGGGGTGGGTCTGAACGTCCAGCTCCCTTGCCTCCATGCCGGACTAAGCCTGAGGTGTAGCTTAAGCTCCAGTGCTCCCCACAGGATCTGGGATGTGGGATGCTGGGCTCCTCGTCCTCCTGTCCTGCTTCCCCCTCCCCTTCCCTGTTTCTTCTGGGAGCTCTTCCTTCTCCGTCCCTTGCACAGGAATTCTGGTCTCAGGAGCCCGACCTAAGACAGGCGCCTTGGGCTTCTTTTCTCCCTCCGAGTCCCCTCTTGGAGGACTGCTCATGGCTTCTCCATCTCCTCCAAGTAAGACTGGGGTCCATGTCATCCTTGCCTGTCCCAGCAGAGGGGCTGTCACACACTTGCCCCTAAACAGACCCAGCTTCTCCTTCAGGAATGTCTGTCAACCAGCTTCAGGCGCTACAACTGGAAGGTGATATCATCTCGGGGATAAGGGAGCCATGTGGGGGAGGCGATCTGGGGACAGGGCTGCTGACAGGAAGCAGGGTGGCCATTCTACTAACATGCACAAGGAGAAGTAGACATTCCAGGCCCTCCGGAGCCCTCAGACCACAAGAGAGGCCCTTGATTGCTTCTTTTGAGTCTCCTGCTTGAAGGAGCCCAAGAAAAAGGTCTGTGACCAGCAACTGCAGAAGTTCCTTTAAATGCCTCGGACACCTCCCAAGCCCTCGATGTCCCCTCTGAGCCAGGAAACTCTGCGAGGCCACTGTGCCTTCCTGGGGCCATATCCTGCCTGGATGAGCCCAGGGTGTGGAGCTGTGGGCCGGGGGTGGGGTCAGACTCTGGAAGGCATAGGAGCAGCCAGTTTCTGGAGCTCAGGACAGAGATGAGAGTGTGTGGGGGGGCCTTGGCTGATCCTAAAGGGGGCTGTGACCTCAGCAGCCACCCAAATGCCACACTACAGATGGGGATCCATCGATATTTTGGAATGGGCGACATTCAGTTTTTCAAGATACCCCTGTGCCTTGAATTTATTAACCTCCCATAAAAACACAGAACATACACAATCTACAGTATAGAAAGTATAATTTACAAAAATATAAAAATCTTGGTTATTTTTTAGTATTCCAACATATTACTGTGTGTGTTATTTCAATAAGCACGTTTAAACAATGCGCACCTCTCCGGCATGACGACCTCTGTGGGGGATGGCGTCACCTCCCTCTTTTTTGTTTTAAAATAAAATATATATTAAGAAAAAGAAACCAAAATCGGTTATACGTGCATACTGTGTGTGTAAAAGCTTTTGCAGTGGAGCTGGAAAGAAACCCTCCACTTAGACCAATATTCAGGCCTCGTTTTCCAGGATCAGTATGTGGCCCGAAGTGTTTTAAACTGGTTGCTTAAACAGAGGCGTTCTCCAGGTGCGGGCAGCCAGCACCCCCAGGTTTGCAGTTTCTTCCCGGGTTATGAGATGATGTTCACAAACGCCAACATTGTGGAGACGTTCGGTGGTCAGAGCAGAGGGGACGGACCATGGGCGATGGTAAGGCCAGGGCCCATTCCCAGATTCCTTCGCGGGTTCACACCAGCACTGAGGGGCTAAGTCACTAGCAATGAAAGACCCCAGAATGATGCCCCGGGGGACACATCTTTCTGGGGACCAGCAAGGCTGCCTGTGAGCTCTGCCCTGCCTTTACCGCTGCACCCCAAGTCAAGCTCTCACTCCAGAAGGCTCCAAGGATGCTGCCCTGCTGGGCGTGGGGTGGGGCGGAGGCTTCCTTCCACCCCAGAGGAGGCGGTCTTACCGGCAGGCACAGGTCTCCACGGACATATTGGGGTACACCTTCAGAACCACATTCCGGTTCTCATCCAGGAAGAGGACCCCAAGAGAGTTCATCTTGTCGGGGACGCAGCAAGGCTCTGGGATGCCCGGGACGATGCCCACAGCTCTGACGATGCTCTGGATGGTGGCGTGGTTGGACGGGCGGACGATCTGCAAGGCGGGAAAAGGAGCACGGTTACCTCGGTGCTCGGCCCTCACCCACCCACCATGCCATCAGCACATCCTTGACTGCGCCCATGGAAGAGGCATCAGCATAGAAGAAAAGTGAGGTCCCACGGCTGGGAACTCGTTTCCTCCAAAGTCAGCCACAGACCAAGTCCCAGGGAGGTTGAAGTCATAGCCCCTAAACGCCACTGGCCACTTGGGGGCACTTGTGCGTCATGCATCACCCAGGAGCCCTGGGAGCTGGGCAGGAGCTGTCCAGAGGGGAGGCTGAGGGACATGCCCAGCCAGTGCCGTCTGGGGCCACAGCCGCCCAGGTTTTACAGTCTGAGGAGTACAGACATGCTTCCCGTGTGAGCATGTTCTTAGCACCGATGGGGGAGGCCTGCAGACATGTGTGCGCCAGCGTGATGGGCTGAAAACTGACGTTTTCCAGGTGGGTCTGACTTTGGGGTGGCAGGCGCTGCTTCACCTGCATCACCCCATTGTGTCATTGTGACCATCTTATGGGGCGGGTTTTACCTTAATTTTACTGGTGAAAAAACTGACGCTAAAAGTGACTAAGTAACTTGACCGAGACCCCTCCGTTAGAAAGTAGCCGGGCTTAGAAACCATGTTCCCCAGGGCCACACCCACTGGCTCTCTTCCCCTCCCCAGGCAGCCTCTCGCATCCAGGGGAGTCTGGGTTCCAGCAGCGGGTACAGAGGATGCCCTTCCGTAAGCACATCCAACAGGATGGACAGGACCAAGTCACATGCACTTCAGCTGATCGCGCCCAAAGAGAGCTTTATGTATGGTGTGCTGATGAGAAAGGCCTCTTGCACAGGGAGGTGGGGAGAGCGAGGCAGGGACACTGATTTATGGGGAATGTGGGAAGGCAGCGAGGGGTGGGCTGATAAGGTAAGTAGGGGTCAGCCAGCTGGAGTCTGCGGAAAACTCGTCCTACACCTGCCCCAGGCCTGTGCTAGGACCTTCCAGCAGAGGCCTGTCTCTCTATCACGCACCTCCCTTCCCCTCTCTGCACATGCACGGCTTGGGGAAGCTCTTTAATTCCCAAACAGGTTAACACCGCCCCACGTCTGGGTCTGGGATTTCCCAGTTGGCCGATTTATTTACGTTCAAAGTGGATTTATGCACTGACTTCCCTTCTTGGAGAGGAGACATGGCCTGGGACTCGGCAGAGGAGCCAAGCAGGAGGGAAGTGTTTGCTGTGTGCCGGGCGGGGGGCTGGGGGGGGCTGGGCGGGGGGCCACATCGTCTGGCAGCCAGCCCATCACAGCTCAGGCCATGGGGAGAGGGATGGACAGAGCCACAACCCAGCCCGGAGAGAAGGTGAGACTCTGAAAACCCCAGGTCAGCATCATGGATAAAACAGCCGCGTGCTGTGTGTCTTGCAGACTCGTGCACAGACAGCTTACTGCCCCGTGGGTTCCTGCCCTGAGTGGGAGGGAGGCCGGAGTCCACACTGGTAAGCCACTGAGCCCAGTCCTGTGCTGGTCACAGATGCCAACATCCTGAGGTCCAGGCCAGGAACGGAAATGAGAGCCTTGACAAAAAGGGGGCCGTGGAGACCTGACACGTCTTGAGGGGAACAGGGGCCAGCATCTACTCAACCTCTGTAGATTTTGCTAGGTGGTGACACGAACCTAGGGCGATGGATTCTCCTGCTTCCCGAAAGAAAAGATGCTTTGATCCAAAAATTCAAATTCAATCAGGTCAACACTTTCAAAAGCACAGGCAGACGGCATCCATGCATCCGCCCAACGGGGGGCGACGTTGGGACCTCCCTCTACCTATGGCCCGCCTCGAATAGATGGGAGGGGTTAGTGCCCCTATTTTACAGACAGGAAACAGAGGTCAGGAGGCAGAGGGACCCGGCAGGAGGGCAGCCTGAGAGTCACACTAGACATCGGGCGGCTGACAGCGGCGTCCCCCCGACACCTACCTTGGGCATGGGGAACTCACAGGCGCCTGCGCAGTAGTAAGCGTCGAAAGACTTGGGCGAGATGATCCATTCATTCCACCCGATGTCTGCGAAGTCCACCTTCAGATACCTCCGGGAGCAGACCCTCGGCTCGTCCCACTGCTTCCTCCGGGCTTTCTGCATCGTCTTCTCGTCGAAGTCCAGCACCTGCGAGGAGGCCGCGAACGCATCCTGGCCCTTCCTCCTGCGGTCCTTGCGTCCCGGCCGGGACTTGAGGGCGCGGAAGGGGCTGGGCCACAGCTCGTGCTTGTGGTAGGGCTGGGCGTGGGGGCCGTGCGCCGGCCTCTCGTCCAGCCCCGGCAGCTCGTTGTCCTGAAGGGGCCCGGTGACCTGCGTGGCCCGCCGCACACGGGGGTCTGCCGAACTGTTGGGGGCTGCGCCGGGCTCCGGGTCTCCAGTTTGAAAGGGGTCATATCTCTGCAGTGTCACTGCCACGCTGTTGGGCTCTGAGATGGCCAGGTCGTTGGCGTAGACGAGGATGTAGGGCGCATGGGGGCTGGGCCTGGGCACCCCCGGGTCCTTCTCCCCAGCATCCAGCTGGGCGGAGAGGAGCAGCTCGCCATCCCGGCGGGCCGCCTTGACGATGGGGGAGATGTCCTTGGCTTGCCACAGGCCCCGTGGCGGGGGCGCCAGGGCCATGGCCCCACGGAGCAGCCCCTGCGTGGCTGTGTTCTGCGAGAGGCTGCGGAAGAGCAGGTGCTGGCGGGCAGGCGGGCCCGGGGGCAGCAGGCGGCAGGACGCGTTCTTGGCGCGCTGCTTGCACGGCACCTCACGTGCCTGGGGCCACCTGGGCTCCGAGTAGAAGTGGAAGGTGGCCGTGAGGATCATTTCCGAGTCCTGCATGGAAGTCAGGTTGAAGAAATACACGGCCTTCTGGTTGACCACTTCTGCGAGGAAAGGACAGACCACAGCCTGTGAGGGTCTTCCCCGGACAGGTCCCCCTGCTGGAGGGTCTCCCGCCCAGGGCTGGGATGGAGGGGAACACCTATTTAGGGAGCACTTACAGGCCAGCCAGGCTTTCCTCATCTCGTGTAACGCTCACATTAAATGGAGGAGGGCGCCCTTTATCACCCCCAATGAATAGTTGAGGAACTGAGGTCAGAGAGGTTGAGGATTATCAATATCCGCTTGCAAAAACAGAAGGTAGCAGACAGGGCAGGTGCTGGGGCCTGCTGGACCCTCCACCTCCTGTGTCCTCCCCGGCACTCTGATGCCTCTCAATGAACAAACGAGCAAGCACACCTGATACCGTCATTAACCAGAGAAAGTGGCATCAGGGGTTGGGGGTGGTTTGGGTTGGGTCCATGACCTGCTGACAGCAGCCCCTCTCATATTTGCAAAGGCCTCTATAATGCAGATGTTAAGCACAGTTATTCTCCCAAAGGAGGAGAAATAATCAGAGTGCTTCCTACTTTCTGCAAATTCTGAGGGTCTTCGGAGGGAACTGGGCTTAGGAGCATTTGGGCATCTGCTGTTTGTTCTGCCCTAGGGCTTTTAAGCTTGTTTTACAAAGAAAGAGCAATATCTGGGTTGTGCCAGATCACTGTATGAAATCTACAAAGTCCAGGTTGTTCTCCAGAGGCCCAGACCACGATAAGGACCAGGGTCCCTCAGACATCACACCTGCAGCTCGAGAACGCTCTGGTCCTCATGTCCCTGGGGATTCAACCGCCCCTTCCTTCTCACCTGGTTCTCCCAGCTGTGACCCTGGGCCCAGGGCAGGGCACCCTGGTCTGCAGCCCTAGGGAGCCAGCCCAAGACGGGGCAGCATGAGTGTTCTGAATGGCCAAGTCCTCTCTAGGTGCGGACAGGAGGGAGGAGTCGTTCCCAGGCCTCCCTGTGATGCTACAGACCAGCAGGGACCAGAGCTGCCTGTCAGAGGCTCCCCCTCCCATGGCTCTGTTTCCTGCTGCCCCGCCTCTGTCTGCCAGGTAAAGCTGCAGAGGAAGAGAGCTCCCAACTGGAGGAGGGTATATGTGTGCGGGACGCTGGGCTCACCGAAGGGCATGAGTTGGGGCCACGGCATCTCTGAAACCTACACCTATGGGATCAGCTGGGATTTTTTTTTTTAAATCAAAATCATCAGTTTAAGGTTATTTGTTTCTATTGGGAAAGAGGCATAATTCAATGGGAAAATTGTTGTGCACTCTTAAGGGACTAGGAGAGAGAGCAAGGAAGGAAGGGAAAAGCACATTTATGGAGATGCGATGAATGCCAGCCAAGGCTTAGCTGACATTCTAGAGATGCTGTCTTATCTTATCCTGGGAACAAACCCACAGAGAGGTATGGTGGCCGCTTAACAAGGTCCACACACATGGAGCTGCGCATGGTCCTAATGGTCATTTAAGCTTGGCTTCCCCAAACACTGCCTTGAATGTCACAGTCTCCGGGCTTGCCTTTCCCAGACTTTGCCATCACCGGCTTCCTCCACAGAGATGCTGATTCAGAGGGTCTGGGACAACGGGGCCCAGGAATTTGTATTTTAACCAGCACCCCAGGGGATTCTAACCATCAGGCAAGTTTGGGGAGCACTGGTGGGCGGTGGCCGCATTATCTGGGGTTGACCTGTGTGTGGGGAGCAAGTTCCCAATGGGACCACACCGCGCACACCTGCCTCAGAGGGACAACAGAATCTCTATCTCACCTGATGGTTTGGAGGATTAAATACACGACATACCTCATGTGCCAGGCACAAAGGAGGAGCCCCCAAATGTGCTTCCCTGCCACTTTCATCTAAAGGACGAGTGGTGGCAGAGCAGGCTCCTTCTATACCAACTCGGGCACCTCCCACCCAAGGATCCAAAGACCTGAATTGTGACCCAGCTAACACGGCAGATAGACTGTTTTCCTTTTATCCAGTTCCAGTCTTAACTCTATTGTTCTACTAATGGAGTCTTTACTAGAAAAGAGTGAAGAGGCTCAAGGACAGACACTTCAGACTCTTTCCGAAGAGCTGGCCCTTTGCAGCCGGATGCAAGCATCTCCAGCCTGGAAAGCTCCAGGCATCGGTGAGGAGGAGATGGCAGACTGGTGGCACACGGACAAGGCTCCCCAGAGAAAAGCACTTTGGCCCCCCCTCCAGCAATAAGGTAAAGAACGAGAGGCGGTATAAAGGAGGACACTGAGCACCACAGCAGGGACAGCCACTTTGGCTGGAGGTGGGTGTGGTCCAAGGAAGGTGCTGGGAGGACTGTGCTCCGGGGTGAGGGGGGATGGGGCAGAAGTGCTGCAGAGAAGGACTGGCCTTCCCAGGAGATTATTTCTGCACAGTGTGTGTGTGGGGGGGAGGGGCAGCAAACATTGCCTGGCCCTTAGGATGGAGAACCACAGAGAGCGTGCTCAGAGATTCAGATGGGGAGGAGCCTTAGAGGTCACGCAGCCCATCAGTGCACTTGGGGCAGGAGTCCTTCCTCTGTTTGGCTTTAGCCCTTGGCCATAGGGAGCTGGCCGCTTACTAGCCAGCCAGCATGTGAAGACCCTCCCTGATGGGAACTGTTGAGGTAGAGATGGGTCCGCCCTGTCCCCGGCACCTGAAAGGCCACAGGCTGGCCCTACTCTCTGACAGCACCTGCACGTACACAATGCCAGGGGCTCTGGGCTGTGGCTGAGAGAAGGAGTATCTGCCTGCAGTCTCCTAGCTTGGCTGAGCCCAGGCTGTCAAGAAGAAGCCCCAAAGAGAGGTCCTTATTTCCTATGCACCGGGCAGGTGCCCTGGGCTCCTGTCTTTGGTCAGCTAGAGAAGATCCTTCATTCCTCCCTCCCTCTGTTCTTCTGAACACCAGACCTAAGAGCTAGTCAGTGCTCAGAAATACGTATTGAAGGGCCGGGGAAGAGTGGGGTCTTTGCTACATCTGCCTGCCTCAGTTAACAATGAGGGGAGAAGGGATGGCTCATCCAGTCTATGGACAAAAAGATGGAGCATCAGAGAGGGGACATAACTTGCCTAAAGTCACCCAGCTGGTAAGGGGCAGAGCCAGGGTGTGCACCCAGGCCCTCTGACCCCCAACCTACACCCTTCTGTCCCCCACCCCCGCCCCGTCCCGTGTGCTCTGATAGAATGTGGAATCATGATCTGCCTCAGAGCAAATGTAACAAAGATCATGCATCGTGGACTCTCAAACGTTTTACAAACACAAATCATTATTTGGAGGATTTTGAGTTCTGACTCTCCAAGAAAGAAAGGACGGGGCTTACTTAGATCTCTCTGCGGGTCTCTGGAACTCTCAGAACCCTAAGCCAGGGCCACTTTGCCGGGCATGCAGCCTCCTTCCAACTCAGTGGGGCGGGACTGGAGGGGAGAGAGGAGGGGAAGGGGCCCTAGCTCAAGGGCCCCCCAGGCTCCCTGCTGGCCAACCCTTGGGCCAAGAGGACCCTCAGACTGCTCTGTCCTATAGAGACAGAATCCAAGCCACTTGGAGGTTGTCCCTTCATCCATTGCCCTTGAAACTGCCATCAGAGTGACCACAGTGAGAACACAGGGCTGAGGTGCAAGCAACGACAAGCTGGAGGAAGGAAGTGGCTGGACAGCTGGCGGTGCTGCAGAGAAGGGAAGAGAACCAACTCGTATCGAGTATCCAGTTTCACACAGGCCCCAGAGTCAGGTTTAAATCCTGCCTGCATCACTTACTAGCTGTGGGGCCTGAGGCAAGTCAGGGAACCCCTCTGGGCCCCAGTTTCCTCATATGTAAACCAGGCAGAGTATTTGCACGTGCCTCCTAAGGCTGTAAGAGCATCTCTGCAGAGTTCACAGCACAGTGCCTGGTGACTCAGTGCATGCTCAGAACACACTGGCCATGTGGCATCATGAAGCTGCTGCTCCAGCAGGGTACACACCCAGGCTTCCTGTCCCTGTGCCCGACGGGAGGCATGGCCACTGTCTGCCCCTCCAGCAGGAGACGGAGAATTCTCACGGCCTCATCCGCCTCCTGCATCTAACCAATCACAGCTTCGGTTAGGTTTCCATTCCTTCTTGTCCACAACCATCCTGAACTCTGACCCCCTCCACCGCTGCCTCGTCCAGGGCCCGGCCTCCGCTGCCACCAAGACTCCAGAACATGTCCCCCTCACGTCACACTCACACTTCATAAGGAAACCACCTATTACAGATGAAGGGCTAAGGTCTCTACTATGTAAAGAACCTCTAAAAATCAGTAAGAAAAGGACAAGAACCCTGAGAAATGGATGCAGTTTCCACAGGGACAGTCGCAAATGGCCAATAGGCATGAAAACCAGTTGAGGATGACCAATAATGAAAAGAAAGTAACCGCCAGTGCAGATATGGCAAATTTTACCTCCATGTTGAAAACATGATCCTCTTAGGGTAACAAAGGATATACAGAGGGATAAAAGGATATATATATACATATGTATATATAGATATAGATATAGATGCTGCCCATATACATATACATGCGTATACATATATGTGTATACATATATGTATGTGTACGTATATATATATTCCACCAAAATATTAACTCTAATTATATCTGGGTTTGTGATTAGGGATGACTTCTTGTCTTTACTGTAATTTTTTAGGATTTCCAGATTTTCCCCGTTAAGTATGCATTTCTTTTGTAACCTCTCTCATTCTTTCTTCTCTCTCCTCTCTCCCCACCTTCTGTGTCTCCTTCCCTCCTCCTTCCCCCTCCCTCTCTCCCTCTCTCCTCTCCCCTCTCCCCGCCTTCTTCCCCTTTTCTCTCTCCTCTCCCTCCCCTTGCCATTCCACCCCCCCAACCGTGGACACACCCACATACTGCCCCCTACAGGCAAACTCATAACCCTCAGGGCTCTTGATGGCCTGGTGGTGGTCCACCACCCCCTTCCCCCTCCTGCCTCTCTCCTCATGCTATTTCCTCATTTAAGCCACACTCGTCCTAGCCCCCAGCACACAGTGGACGGCGTCATTTCTACACCCGGCTACACCTCGGGCCCATCAGAGTCTGCTGGCCTCGCCTGCTCTGTGAAGGTTTCACTGGTCCCTGTCCACCGGCTCCTCCCCTGCGGGTCAGGGCTGTCCCTTGTGGCTCCCGCAGAACACCCCTAGCCCTTTGTCACTCCATCGTGCCACCGGTCCTGCTGTCCACATTCTTCTGTTACTTCTCCCTGCCTGCCAGCTCCTGAGCTTTCCTGTCTACGCATTTTCAGTCTAGGCATCTTCGTGTCCTCCGAGCTTACAGCATCTGCCACCTATTGAGGTGCTCAGGAAAGATTTGGGGAACTGAAATGAACGTGACTTTTGGCATTTTTGACAGACCAGAATGGATTATTATTCTCATTTTAGAGATGAAGAAATCAAGCTCAGAGAGGTTAAGCAACTTGCCCAATATCACACAGGTAGGTGGAAAAGGCTAGATTTAAAGACAGGCCGTTTAGGGTGGAGGTTGTCTAACCTTAACCCGTAAGGTCAGGCTCAGAAGCTCTCCCCACTGATGTGGACCTAACAGAGAACAAAGCACACTCCAGGGAGCAATGAGAGGGAGGGAGGGCTGGAGTAATAATAGTAGGAGCTAATAAGTTATTGACACATATGTGTGCCAGACACTGTTTTATGTGCTGGACAGATCTCAGGTCATTTGAAAAAACTTAGAAGGAAGGGAGCATTATTAGCCCCATTTTAGAAGTGAAATAAACTGAGTGACGGACACGTTCAGTCCCGCGCCCGGGTCACAGGTGCAGGATTCGGACCCTCCAGTCCGCTCACAGCCCACATGGAACCCCAGCTCCACTGTCCGATGCCAAGTGAGGAGGATGGCTCCACAGCAACCGGGGCTGACGCATCTGTTGCTCCAGAAGAGGCACCACCTGCTGAGGCAGCAGAAGCCACCGGCATGGAGCAGGCTGGTACCAGTGTATTCCAGGACCAGAGCAGACGCTCCCACATTTGTGTCCCATCCATAAGATGAGGGGTCCCTGGCCAGGCGCACACTTCCTCCCAGCTGGGTCACTGGGGCAGCTCTGAGGGCTGGGTGTGAAACAACCTATGTGAATCAAGGGAGGGGATGACAAGCTGCTCGGGCCTCCTCTACGCCAGGCACAAACCCCACCACAGCCCACAGAATCTTCCCCTCCCCAGTGCACAAGAAACCGATGCTCAGAGAGGTACAGGGACATGTGCCACGGCACACAGCCAGTAGCTGGTGGAGCTGGGACTTGTACCCCTGGCTGTCAAATGGTTCCAAACCAGACTGTAGGATTTGTCAGACAGTCCCAGACTGGTCCAGCATAATTCTACTCTTCCAGAACTGTCTGTTCCACCATCTGTCTCCTAAGTCCTGAGTTTCGTTCTGATGGAGGAGGCTAGCAGTGAGAACAGCACTGGCCTGGCAGAGGGAGGCACCAACCACTGCCAGTGTGATAGCCCTGTTCCCCCAGCCTCAGTTTCCTGATCTGTAAAGTGGGAGGGCTGGATTTGAAGGACTGTCTCCAAGTCCTTTTCAGGGCTGACAGCCTATGCCCCACTGTTACTTACACAGCTCCAGTCTGTGAAAATACAAAGACAGACTATGTTCCTCGACACCCAGGGCTGCAGCAAGTGGGGGGCACAATGGGTATGCTTGCCCCTTGTTGAAGCAGTGGCCTCGCCGGCCTTGTTTTCCTCAACTGCAAGGCTTTGAGGACTGAGTCAATGGATGCAAGGTCAAGTCCACCCCTACATGAACACAGATGCTTTGCACTCCCAGGGGAACGAGATGCACCAACACCTAATCTGGCCAGTGTCGGGCTCGGTGCTCACACACATTACCTCATCTCATCTTTCCTGCAACCCCGCAGGGAAGATACTACCATGAGCTGCCCATTCTGTGGATGAGAACACTCAAGTCCACAGAGCTTTGGCAATTTGCCCAAAGTCACGTTCATGCCAGATGATTCTTAAGTGACTTAATTTAATAGTGATGCTCCAGAAATGGACCGCAGGTGGTGCATAAAAGGTACCAGGGAGGACGGAGTTAGACTGTCTGGTCTGGAGCCCAGGGACACTGATCTAGTGAGTCTGCTCAGTGGAGGATGGGGACAGGCGCTCTCTGTGGCAGGTGCTCGCCAGCACACAGTTATTCGAGGCCACGCTTCCCAGGTCTGGCTCTGAGGCCATGGACGTTACCTCGAGTCACACAGCCAGTGATCCACAGGTGGCAGATCTGACCCCAGGCTGTCTGGCCCAATGTTGGGCTACAGACGGATGCTCTTTCTCCTGATGAATGGCCTCCTCCCCCGCAAGGGCTGCAGGGGAGCCCTACTCACATTTTCTGGAATGGCATTCTGTGACCACGAGTAGTCTCCATGACAACCAGAAACTTCCCACCACCCCTGCCACCAGTCTGCACCTCGTCTGTGCCAGCCCGGGGCCTGCAGAGGTAGCCCAGCCCGAGCAGGCCAACAGCTGAGGCTGGAGTCTGGAAATGTTCCTGGAGCAGGGCAGGGAGGACCCCGAAAGTGGCCTCTGTCCGGTTCCAGCCAAGGTGTGGGGAGAGGGGAAGGGATCTGCTCAGGTGGGGCAAGGTCTGGAGTGGAGGGATGCCCTCACTGCCCATGCATTTGGACTCTTCCGCAAACCCCCGTAGTGTGAACACTGCATGCTGGCACCCAGCAGGCCTCAGTCTTGTGCACCCAAGGCCCTTCTCAGTCCAGTCTGCTTTCCCAGCCGTGGAGACCACTAACCGGCCCCAGCTGGAGGTTCATGCCCCTGCCTGGGCCCAGCGCCTGGTACCCCTCTCAGGGCTGCCTCATGCCCACCTGACTGTGCCCTCCTCATCTGTCGAGTCAGCACAACTGCCCCCTACGACATGCATGCCTCTCCCAGAGCTCCCCCAGCCCAGCCCCACTCCACCTTGTGCTTAAAGCCTTGTGTACGGGGTGGTCTGTGTCCCGCAAGTGTGACATCCTCCCAGCCTTGGCAGCACCCCAGGGGCGGGAACTCTGTGTCACTCTGCCACTTCGGTGTCCCCGCTGGAGGCTCAGGGGCCAGCATAGAGTGCTAGGTGAATAGTTAATGAAAGAATGAATGAAGAAGTCAATGAATAGAAGGAAGAGGAAAAGCGGAGGTGCAGGGGTGCGGAGGATGGACAAGTGAGGAAAGGGTAATGAGGAGAAGCGGTGCCCGCCTGGAGCCCCCTCTACTTACCCAGACGGGCCCGGAAGCTGCGGACCGTGTTGCCCCCTCCCGGCCGCGCGCCCCTTCGGCTGTATTTCTCATAAAGCCGGAGCATGTGGACAGCGACCATGTCCCGAGCACCGGGGCCCAGAGCGGCGGCCGCGTCCCCCAGGGGCCACTGGGCATCCTTGTGCCCCACCAGGCCGTCGGCGGCCGCGGGCAGGGCGGAGCGGGCAGGGACCGTGTGGCTGCCGCCCGCGTCCCGAAGCAGCAGCAGAAGCAGCGGCAGCAGCGGCAGCAGTTGGGGTCCCGGTCCTGGGCTGGTCCGAGCGGGGCCACGAGCCATGGTGGGCGGCGGCGGCGAAGGGCTGGAGCCCGGGAGGAGGAGGGCGCGGGCGCACCGGAGGCTGGGGACCGACCGTGCGGCGGGCGGGAGGGCGCGCGGGCAGCGCTGGCACCGGGGGCGCGGGGCGCGGGGCAGAGCGCGGTGGGCAGCCAAGAGCCGGGCCGTCCCCGCCGCCCGAGCCCCGGCCCGCGGTCACGGCCCTCCGGAGCCGAGTGGAGCTGAGCCGAGCTGGAACCGATGCGCCGCCTCCGCGGACTCGCGCGGCGAAACTTTGCAGCCCACTGCGCGCCCGGCTCGGCTGGCTCGAGGGGCGGGGCGGGGCGGGGCGGGGCGGCCAGCGGCGCCCTCCAGGGGACCCGGCTGCGCGCCCCGGACCTCTGGGGCAGCCGCCGACACGGCCGTCCCTGGCCCGGCTGCGCTGTGCGTGCGCCCGCGAGGAGCGGCGTGCGCGCGCAGGGCCGTGCGCCCGGGGGTGCGCGGCGAGTGCGGGGGGCGTGGGCGCGGGCAAGCGCGCTCCCCGCTCCCCTGCAGAGAGCCGGAGACCTGGACCCGGGCAGGCTCCTGTGTGTCGGCGCCGCAGCCTGGCCGGGCCTGCGCGGGGGCTGGTTGGCCTTTGGAGGGGGGCCCGCCTGCCGCGTTGCCCCTGCAATGGCATGCGATGATGACTGTGTGGTTCTAAGATGACAGCTCCGCCGTTAGGACCTGAGAGGGGGTGTGTGTGCTGCTCAGTTGCCTGTGAGCGAGTGTGTGTCCAAATTGCAAGAGTGAGGGGAACACGGACCCTCCCCGGGCAGGCTTTGAAAAGAAAAACCCTAACTCCACAGTTCCACCAAGCCAGGGCAACTTGAGCAAGATCCTTTATTTGGTGACAATGATTGCCGTGGTTGAAGAAACACATCAAAGATCCTTGTTAATCTTTGGTCATGTATGCATCAGGATTGTCCTGAAAAAGGACGTGGTTTCAAATTGCTTTACAAAACCTTTCCAAAGCATCAGGCTAGAAGAAGAGAAAGCAGAGGGTTTCCCAAGAAGTACTCGCAATGAAGCGAGGGTGCAGGGGATCCCTGGTTCCTTGCCCCTCAGCTTAGCTCTGGGCCAGAAGGGCCTGAACTGCGTCTGGCCGGTTAGCAAGGTTTCTTGTCCGTGGAAAGAATTTCAGGGGCTCTGTGAACTTAGATGGGGAAAAATGACATCTTTAATTTCACTGACCTGAAACAGCCTCTCTTAATATTGCAAACGCAGGTAACCAACCACAGTGGTGTTCACCATACCTGTGACTTTTGTCACCAATCGCCACCACCCAGGGATGTTTTCATATCAGGTGAAAGTTGTTTCAGATTTCTCAAAATATTGTTTTGCTCATCATTGTTTTGAAATTAAAGTAGTTTTTCTATTAGCTATTTAATGAATTAATAAGAAGGCATGTAGATTACTATGTTGCAAAGTTGTTTTAAAAAAATTTTTGATAACTATGTTTTAATGTAATTGGCTTCCTTTGTAATACTGCATATTAAAAACAGTCTTTTGAGAAAGGGTCTTCAGCCTTCATCAGATGAAGCATGGAGTCTAAGGCCCCCATGAAATGTTTACAAATCCTTCTGAGGGAAGGAAGGGACCTCTTCAAACCATCTTCTTCAGCAGCGTCAAGAATGCTGTCTGTGCTATGTTTCAAAGGATTACTTGCAAACTGTGAACACATCGTCCCCTCTACTTGGTAACTTTGAGCTCTACGAGCCAAAACAGTTACTTTTCTTGGAGGGCTCACAATGCAATAATTGAAGAATTGCTGGAAAAAGCTTCCGTCGGTGGGTAAAAGACAACCCATTTGTAATTTTTTAAAATCTTGCCGTGTCAAATTAGAGGCCATCCTATTGAGAGCCCCTGGACGGCAGGCCTGTAGCTTTTGGAAAACCATCCAGAAGCATTTTATTTGTTTTGGTAATTAGCTCACATGGTGTTCATCTTCCCGTTAATATAGCTCCCGCTTGTTCTGCAAAACCGTTTTCAAAAACGGTTCGCCGGGAGGTGAGATGATCAAGTTGTGGCCTTGGACTGCATGAATTGCTCCTTATAAATGAACTGCACCATCTTTTACGGCTCCGTTACCCCACCCCCACCCCCACGGCCCTCCTTCTCCATGTGCCCCTCACTTCCCCTCTGCCCCCCTCTCCCCTCTCCCCTAGAATGCCTCTGACCTGTACCGGCTGGGGGTAACCTCTGCTCCTGGGTAGTTTTGTCTCTGCTGGGGCCATACACAATCGATGCCTGTGAAAAGGAGGGTAAGCCTGCAGGAGGCCGGGACAAGCTGGGCTATTCGGGATCTGTGTCCATTAAAGGCTTCTTGCTCTCCTTAACTCATTCTCGCTCCATTCAAGCCGGCCCGAGGGTCAGGCTTCAGCCGGCACTAAAACCTGTAGGGTACAGATTTTCTGACATTGTTGGGAAAGAATTAAGGCATCAGCTGGGGACAGCTAATATTTCTTGCCTCATTTTATTGCTGAACAGCAGGACTGTAAAGTCTCGAACGCTGGAGCACTATGGCTCCCTTTCATGTAGCCGAGATGATGGGATAAAAATGTGTTTGGTGAAGCAATTCAGATTACCACCGGGTCACATCCTCGCTGGCTCCCAGCACGGCCTGCAACAGCATCACTAAGACGAGAAACAATCGCTGTGCAATTTCAGCTCATGCAGAACAGTGTTTCTAGCGTGGAAGTGAGGCTAATTGTGGAGCTTGCCAATGAGAGTGTTTTGTTTTTAATAGCTCAGGCTGCAGCTCGAAATAAGAGTTGAGATGGCGGGCCGCGGATTCATGTCCTAAGATCTGTGATTTCTGACGACTTGCTACTAAGATTATCCCAGTCTCGGTGGTGTCAGGTGTACACGGTTTTACCAGGAGCGATGAGGGCTCAAACTTGCAAACAGGGATGGAGAATGCTCTCTCCAGGGTTGAGAGAGGTTCCTGGGCCCTCAGTCTTCCGGGCCTGTCTGCCACACACTCTAGGGTAGAGATTTCCCATAAGCTCAGAAAACCCTGAGGAAGGAGGGAGAGGCTCCTTAGTTACGGAGCTCTATGCCTGAGTAAAGGAGAAAGCAAACTCTAGATGGTCTGAGAAGCAAGCTCATTTGGTTTCATCCAAACCTCTTCCCAAGTCAACCCCCGGATGAAATGTTGCTGAGCAATTGTTTCATGAGATCGTCCTGTCAATTTGTGGTAGAGTCAGTCTGCAGCCCTATCTCGCTCCCGTCATCCTGGCCCAGTCCCATCGCCTCTTTGGAACCCTAGTGGCCTCCTGTTTAAATGAGAAGGCTGACCCCGAGCTCTGTTTCAGCTCCAACACTCTATGTCTGGGTCTGTGGCTTCATGTCAACCAGAATGTGAGGGTCTACATGACCCTTCGGAGTCACCTGGACACGGTTCGTGTCCCTATTTTCACCACTACCTAGCTGTGTGGCCTTGAGCATGTTACTTGACTTGTGTGTAGGGTTTCTTCAACTCTAAAATGGGGACAAGAGCGGGATACTATGAGCATCATAGGTAAGGTGTTAACATGAGAGGGAACTAAACGACATTGATCCTTGTTACTGTCCTTTTTATTTCTCCCGCGTTCAGAAGATTGTAGCCTATTTAAAGTGGACCCAGACTCTGGGAGACTTAGTGAGAGGTTCAGCCTGGCCGTTCCTTACTCTGCGGAGGAAATCCATTTCTTAGCACACAGGGCCAAGAGCTGCAAAGAAAAGGAAAAGGAGAGAGAATATTTCCTTGATTAGGAAGTCATACAGCTGTACCAACAAGCCTTTATGATCAGTGTCTGTGGGTCCCCTGTCCAAAGATGGGAGGGTGATAAACAGCTCTTCATCTAGCTTTCCAAAGCTCTTGGCCCTTAGCACAAAAGAAATGTGAGCGAGCCCCTGCTCCCCTTTGGGGCATGAGCTGTGAAAAGGCGGCTGAAGGGTTTGCTGGGGCGCAAGAGACAAGAATCCCAGGGCCTCCCCAGGCCGCTGGGCCGAGTGCAATAAATCTGTGAAATAACAAGCACAAAGGACTTTATAATCAATGACAGATTTTATTTTTGCTCTGGCAAAATCCATCCGTGGAGTGAACATTTTATAGGGAAATAACTACCCACTTTGTGACTCCTCCTCAGCCCATATTCTCTTTCTTAAGGTTGGGAAAAAACCCAGAGCATCAAAGTGAGCTCCGTGGAGAACTGGGGCAGGAGAGAGCATGACTTCCCCTGGGCGGGAACCCAACTCTCCCGTTGCTTCCTAGGGTGGCTCGGGCCATTCATTTCTGTTTTGCTAAAATACCCGTGACATGTGAATAAACCAGGATTACAGAACATTGTCTCGCTCGGTAATCTGAGCCGGCATGGCCTCTGGTTTGCTGAAATATGGTGCTCTCTGAGCAAACATGGGAATGGGTATTACTTCTCGTTAAAGCTGAACAGTGGGACTATTTAGAACTGATGCATGAATGCTGCACTGTGGGGAGTGACAATCTGAAGGCAGCCGATTTGGGGGGAGGGGGGCAGTGGTGTGTGTGAGTTGGCCAGAGCAAGCCAGTTCAGAGAAGTCTTTTGGGGAGGCAGCCAAAGGGACACTTTGGAAATTAGGATCCTTTCAGGGTCTTCTTACAACCTACAAATAATCATCCTCCTCAAAACGTTTTCAGGAGGGACAGAGCCTTGCATCCTTGTCCTGGCATTCAAGCCCTTGTTTTCTGGCCGACTGTCTCTGTCTGTCCCAGGGGAGCCTCTCTCCAGTCTCTTCCTGCCAGTCTTCTGCTGCCCCAGGAATTAGAGGGCCCATTCTCTCAGGATACCTCCCAGCCTCCTCCTGCAGTGCTTTCCTGCAGTCGTGTTGTGGTGTCCCACCCGATACCCCTTCTAGGACCCCGGCCCTCGTTCCCCCAGTTGCCAGGGTGTTGTCTGCTGATGGCTCACGGCTGAGTTCTTCCCCAGGAATTGCCTCCTGCCCAGGAAGCCCAAATGCAGTGACTAGGCCCTAAAGGGTGCCAAGGTCTGGCCCCTTTGTCCCAAGGCAGGACAGATCTGAAGGGCCGTCTGGCTCTAGGACTCCCTGTGGGCTCTGCTGAGGCCCCTGTTGCAGCCACATCCCATTCATCATCTCCCTCTGACCAATCCCAGTTCCCACAAGCACTCTGCCATAACTCTGCATGCACGTCTCCGTCTCTGAGTCTGTTTCCAGGGACACCTGACCTAAGATAGTTGGTGCCAAGAGTAACGTGAGGAAGTGAGCTATGAGATGGGATCTGGGGCTGAGTCATCTAATGCCTAGTGGCAAAGA